GCAATTAAAAAAACCCCATTGGCTAAAAAATTCATCTGAATTTTTTTATACGATATGAATACATGTATCAAATAAAGCTTCTTTTTGTACTAGAATGTTTGTATGGGAACCACTAAGATGGTATTGCTGCTGTTCAACTTCTTCAGGGCTATTCTTATGATAGCAATGAAATCTGTGAAAAGACCTTATTAGCTACATGTATTTAACATATACGATAGATTTATTTTCTGTAGAAATATGTGTCATGATATAGGATACTGTCTCTTTCTTGTTTAAAAAAAAAAAAAAAAGAAGAAGAAGAAAATAAAAAACAAAGAAAGAAAAATAAAAGCATCAGCCAATCACTCAGAGCACTGTTAGCTGTATGGTTTTGTATTACGGTTCATTACTTGGTTAAGTGATATGACCAAAGACTGACGCTTCTATTATATCTAACACTATGACACTGCTGCTTCCACTAATTCTGTTGGAATGAAGAGATTACAAGTTGTAATTACAACATGAAATTGTAACATAGTTTAGATTTGTGCAGCATTTTGAGCTGTAGATTATTCACGTTTTTCCAGGGTTTAAATTTTGTCAAGGTGGTGCAATTACATTACCATTCAAACATACAAGGATCTTTTGGTGTTCCTAGGAAAACAAGACAATGTATTCCAAAACATGCCAAGACATTGCTTGCTTTAACTGAATTTATACTGTTTTGCTTGCAAAACAGTGTCTTGACTGGATAATGGAATTCACTTTTAACCATTTTAGATGCAGAGGGCTATTAAGTCTGGGTTGACAGCCATAAACGCCTAGAAGGATTTAATGAAGGATGTTAAATTATTCAGTTGTTAACACCATATATTATTTTTATGGGGTTTTTTAGATTCTAAATAATTGTCTAAATAAAAAAAAAAATACAAACCTCAGACTATGGAATTGTTATCAGCTGATCCACTGTAATGCATATGTAAGTCGGCTTGAATTTTGAATATCATATTGTTCCAATCAGTACTCAGAAAAAGTCTGCTAACCATTTTTGTTTTGTAACCTTCATGTTAATGATTTTCATGTGTATATAAATATATTAAAAAATATGAGAGCTATTTTCTTACACATACTATGCAATATATTTGTAAAACTGCAATATTACCAAAATTACAAAAGCTGTGCTTTTGTACTCTTTTGCTTTATGTAAAACAAATCTTTTTTCTATTTGATGGACTGTCTGTCTTATAATTGTAGATAACTTTATTCAAAACTAGTACACTAAGATTTTCTTTTAATTTTCCTTGTTTTTTTGTTTTATGAAAATAATAACAAGGTTTTGGAAGTTGGAAATCGCTTTTTCTTGGAAAAGTAGAACTTTTACAGCATGCAGTTGGCAAAGTCAGTCTGAAATCTCTCCTGTAGTTCTTTCATTTGATCTTACCATTTTCAGCTGGTGCTACCATATAACCATAAATAAATGTGATACAAAAAATAGGAAACCTATCATAAATCATTTCAAGAATAGTCAAGTGGGAAACTTTGTAAGGAGGAGAGGAAGAAGTAGGTTAAATGATGAGACTTGATTAAGTTTTCTGTATGTTTTTATTTTATAGTGTTTTTTTTGTTAGGATGCATTTTCTTGTTTCTGTCTATGTTAGCCATATGGTAATATTTTTAATTTATTTTTCAATTTTTTGTCTTCACTCACAATATAGTAGAGTTTTACTTTAAAAATGTTTTGGGAAAACAGACTCTGCATTTAAGGGCAGTACTTTTGTTAAAAAAAATCCAGTTTTAAAGAGGTACAGATTTTTTTTTTCATCAACATTAGTAAAGTTAAAATTACCGTGCTGCATCTCATCTAGTGTGAAAGCTTATTACACTACTCAAGTTCTTTTGTACCTTGCCAGCATAAATATAAACTGTATCTTTATGTTTAAACTGCATCAATTTACAAGCCACTTGATAATTACACAGTCATGTAAAAGGTCTTGTGGTGATGTCATCAATTTGAACAAATCTCATCTACATTTAAATTAGGCTGCATCAGTTATGCAAACAGCACAGCCTGGCACAGAGTTCTGGCAGAGAGCAGGGTGAGCATTTGGGTGGTTGGTTTGCACCAAGCTTGATGCCATACTATGATTTCAGCAATATCCTCAGTAGCCAGATAGTAGCTAGCTACATAATACCTACATAATGTCATTTCTATACAAGAGGAGCAGTTGTATAGAATTATCAGTAATGCAGGTCCTACTAAGTCTCAAGTGGCTAAAACAC